TACATTTTTTTGTTTGTTTTTGTTGTTGCTGCTGCTGTCACTTTATACATGAGGCTGGCATTGAACTCAGAGGTCCACCTGCCTTTGCCTCCCAAGTGCTAGAATTAAAGGCAAGCACTACTATGCCCAGTTAAGTTGGAAGATTTCAAGTGAGGTCCCTCTACTGCCACCTGCTTCTTGTCTCACAAGGGACATGATGGAGCAAGAAAAGAAGACTAAGATGGTAAAGGTAGGGTAGACAGATGGCCAAGCCCGAATGATGGGAACAGGAGGTCCAAAAACCTGCCAGGCTCCTGGAGAAACATATGCCATTTAATAAAGATGTCCTTTTTCCTCCAATTATCTCTAAAGTTTACAAGATTCAGTAGGATTTTCTACTAACACTAAAATTCATTGCATAAATACATGAGAAAAATCAAGAACATATTTGAAAGAGGACTATAAGAGATGGAGTAGTGATTTACTTTAGCAGAAATCAAAATATATATACGCATGTCTATCAGATGCATATGATATAAAGCTATATGACTAAAATTATAAAGCTAGTGTAGCAATAAATAAATAGATCAAAGGGATGGAAGAGATTCAAGGAACAGATTGATGTATGCATATATGAGATTTAATAGTTGATAAAGGTGAAAATTCTCTTGCCATTCTCTGACTCCTACTATGAATCAAGATGTCGGCTCTTAGATGTTGCTTCCGCTGCCTACCACCATGCTTTTGCTCTGCCCTCATGGACTCTAACTTGAAATCATAATCCTAATTTAACATTTTCTTTTTTCAGTTGATTTGTTTATGGTGTTTTATCACCATAACCAAGAAATAGAAAAGTAACTGATGCACAGGTGAACTGAAAATTTTGACATATATAATAATGTTCATAGATATTCTATTGGCAAATACAAGGAATATTTAGACAGGCTTTTATAAGAGTGAAACTATAAAAAATAAATACTTGACAGATTGTCAGTACAGAACACTTCAGATGTTATTATAAAAAATTCAACAAGTCTAATATGGAAAAAATGGTAAAATATTTGCAATATTTATTATTATACTACAGAAAGGGAAATATTGACAACCCAAGATGAGAAATGAACACAAACAACCAATTCCTAAAAATTCTAAATAGCCAGTAAGTCTAGGAGATAACATCTTACAAAAAAATCAAAAAATTATATATAGAAGCAGTAGTGAAATATCTTTTTTGTATAAAAGACATTCAAAGATTAAGGCTATAAAGAAACAGGTAATCCAGAGTCACATTTACTATGCTCATGAACCTAGATATATTTCTTCTACTGAGCTCCCTCATCCACAAAACAGTAAATAGATTTAATTTAAATAATTATAAACTTAAATATATTCTTATTTAAAATAATCTTTTCTTGTCAGGGTTAGAAATATTGATATAAGACAGCATGGATTCATTATATGTTATCCATTATTATGTTCAAAATTTTATCTTAGTTTTAAACAAATTTAAAATACTTTTGTTACTCTAAAACAATCATAAGTCCTAAGCATTAAGTCAACTATGTATAGTGGATACGGATAGTACATTTGAGGTACAGCATCTCATAACAATATAAAGTTTTCTGTAGAGAGAAACTTTAGTGACACCAGAATTCCAAATATGTTGTACTTTAGATCCAACAATTATAGTTGGGGTAATTTATTCCATAAACACACAAAGGCAAACATGCATGTAAAAGAGGATTCAGTACATCATTCATTATTATAACTGGAAAAATTTCTGACAGTCCATTATCAACCAACAGGGAAGTAGTCAAATTAATTTTGGTACAGACACAAAAATATATACATGTACTTGCACCAATATGAAGTTCACTATGATACGGTTTTTGAGTTAAGAAAGCAAAATCTGAGAATAATATCTAGGAAGATTGAATTACTATTTCACCCCTTCTCTGACTGGAAAGAAATACCACAAACAGGACTAATTATTATTCTGATACAACTGAGTTGGTAATATACTTGACTTGGATGAGTTTTTACAGTGGTCATTCATTCCAAATAATAATAACAATAATAATATATTTACATTTTGATGACAAAAGAAATATTTCCCTCTATGATAAAGTCCGGAGCACCTCTGAGAAAGCAATCTTCATGCAAAGCTGAAGGTCATTGAAAGATGTTCAAATTACCAAGTTGGTGTCTATAGTGTCCTAAAAATCAGGAGAGACAGTGAGATTTTTTTCAAAGCATTCAAAGACAAGAACAACCAAAACCCAAAAGCATTGAGTTTTCCTCAAGGAACTATGTTTGGTTGGTTCCTGAAACACAAATGAGTTTTCCACCTGGTTATCACAAGCTCTTCTGAGTCCGGAGCCCGCAGTCATCCAAAGAAGAGTCAGGCAGGTGGTTGAACTGAGAAGCAAGGTTCTGGGTGACAGTTAAGAGAGTGACAGTTGGAGTATGGGGTGGATGGAACCTTCCTATCAGGAAGAGGGTTGCTAAGTCAAGCACACTCTATCCATCCTCATGTTAGCCAATGCACTCAAGGAGACCTACACTCAGGTCTTCAAACCCACCCCATGTCATGGAGCAAGAGGCTCTGTCAATGAGGAAAGTGTCCATCACTTTCTTCTCAGCAAGAGGAAGATACTCATAAAACTCCAGATGTCCTGTACCATTATTTCAGACAAGTAAGGCTCATTTTTAGCAAAGTATGGACTGGTCTTTCTGATAGTCATGATGACTTTGGTGTCTCCTCCCGCACAGTGGGGGATTGCTACCTGAAGATTACAGACCAATGAGAAACCCTGGAAGACCTAAATCAGGCTGTTTGGTGAGAGAAGACACGTGACCAGGTGAGTGGCTATCATGAGCCCTCCCTCTCTAGGATTTGTAAAGGAGGGGAATCTTGTTCTCTGTGGAGCTTTTTATTAACCCAGTCATTAAACTTAGTGCCTGTTTACAATGTACAGAGAGTGAGGAAGCGAAAGAAATACAGAAAAGATATATTTCTTCCCTGTGTGGTTGGAGGAGAAAATGTGCACAGTGTACTTATAATGGACAAAGAAGGAAAATGTTGTAAGAAAAAAAAAAGTACCCATTTACAATTATGGAGGTGAAGATGAAACGTTGGCTGGTTCTTAGAAAGATGATGTTAAATATTAAGGTTGGGAGGAAATACAAAGCAGGCAAAGAGAATATTACTCTGGGTTGGCGAGATGGCTCAGTGGTTAAGAGCACTGACTGTTCTTCTGGAGAATCCTGGTTCAATTCCCAGCACCCACACGGTGACTCACAACTGTCTGTAATTCCAGTTCCAGGGGATCTGACACCCTCACATAGACATACATGTATACAAAACACCAATGCACATAAAATTAAAATAAGTTGGCTTTTATAAAAAGACCACTCTGAGGCAAAAAATGAACAAAAATATCTTTTTTTCAAAAATATTTATTTATTTATTATGTATACAATATTCTGTCTGCATGTATGCCTGAAGGCCAGAAGAGGGCACCAGACTTCATTACAGATGGTTGTGAGCTACCATGTGGTTGCTGGGAATTGAACTCAGGACCTTTGGAAGAGCAGGCAGTGCTCTTAACCTTTGAGCCATCTCTCCAGCCCGAACAAAAATATCTTACACAGAAAATAGCTGTGCTGTTCTCAAGTTACAGCACGTTAAGTCCATAAAGCCTGCCTACAGTGGAAGACATATGGTGACCACCCTCGCCCACCCTGGCAAAAAAGAAAAAAGCCAGCAAGAAGATCTGTCTTCTTTAGAACCTCACAGTCTCATAGATCCTACTTATTACCTCTGTCCAGTCCCCAGTGCCTCTAGTTTGTTGGCGTAAACACTCAACCTAACTTAATTATATGTTTCCCCCTCCAAAACGCAGTTAATATGATTTATTTGTTTACATGTCAGGATTATAACTAATGAATTAACTATAATTTGGTCAAAAGAAATCCTTTGTTTTCTCATCAGTATCTTAGTCTCCATTACATAGGTATTTCTTAGATGTAGCAGTTGTTTGCATTCTTACATATACTATTCACTTTGTGATCTATGGCCTCTGTTACCTCTCATTGGCAGGTGAGTAAACCAAGTAGAAATTTAATTGCAGAGTTCCACTCCTTTAACATACAGGGTGAGGTTACACACAGCCTGTGGATCCTTTGTGACTTATCATCATCAGGGAACAAAATGTGATCATCTCTTTTGAAACCAGCCTGTGATGTCTTTTATACATCTGCTCTATTTTTTCATCTTGAGACTTTTAATTAGTGAACTATGCAACACATAAATCATGCAAAATTTAATAGCCTGCAAATTATACTACATACTGAAATTAATAAACACGTAAGGAAGCTGGATTAGATTTTCCCTTTTAATGTGAAATTTTAAGGCCTTCAGAAGCATTTGTTTCTGTTTTTACAATTTATGTACATGCAGAGTCACCAGAATTCCGTCACATATCTCATATGAGTAAGTTGTCTATATGATCTAGTTGAACCCTTCTGTTTACACCAGACTGAGTATCTCTCATTGTGTTTGAATATATTTCTCTAATACACATGGTGAAACTTAATTGCCACTATAATAGAAAGTATTATGCAAGCAGCCAAGGGAAGGATGCAACCAACAATCCTACCCAGTTGTGATGCCTATGAACCACAACAATGGTCAGCATGCCAAGGTACACCTAAATGTGCAATAGTGGTGCTCACATTTTGGTGGAACCAACATCTGTCTAATTGGACTTAAGACCCTCAACAGAAGGGAAAACATGCTTGGTATTAGAAAGCTAGTCAACCACCCAGTGTTGGTGAGTCCATGTATCTTAAGAGACATCCTACTACTGCCACCTCAGTAGATCAGCATAATTCCTAACTCCATTACAAAACATCTTTATATCTCAAGTAAAGTATAATCACCCCTCATCAAAGAAGCTTCCCTTTATAGGAAACATCACAGAAAACCACACCTAGGCATACTGCAGAGATGAACAATCATGGGGAGCTCAGTCCCATTGGAAACATCTACAACACAAAAGTCCTGCACCAAAGGCTCAGGAAACATCATGGAAGAGGAGAAAGATTGTGAGAGCCAGGGGGCCAGGAAGTCTGACGTGAGGCTGTGTCTCCTAAAAATGACTGATAAACAGGGCCTAAACTATTGATAGTCATGTTAATGTGGAAAGCGGAAAAGCTCATGGGGGTCCAACCCCTAGATAAATATCTACAAGCAACTAATGACTACTGAGAGAGAGAGAATTAGCCTTTCCAGGGATAAGACCCCCAATTATTTATCAAATACAAACTGGTTAGCCCTGAAATTATATAGACATAAACAACAGAAACAAATTCAGCAAGTTGAATTTATATATTTATGCATATATGTATGTGCACTGATACATATATAATTTATATATAACTACAGGGATATTTTGTTTATAAACTAACAAATAAAGCTTGCCTGAGGATCAGAGTGCAGAGCTAAGCCCCTGGTTCGCCATAGAGGCCAGGCAGTGGTGGCACACACTTTTAATCCCAGCACTTGAGAGACAGAGGCAGACTGATCTCTGTGAGTTCCAGGCCACCCTGGACTTCACAAGATTTAATCTGTCTAAAAGAGATTTGATCCCCGACATCATCTTTGCTTATTGATTCCTATCAGTCCTTGCAGCAAATGCTGCTACACTCTAAGGCATGGTTCTTAACCTTTCTAACACTGTGATCCTTTAATAGGGTTCCTCATATTGTGGTAACCCACATCCATAAAATTATTTTTGTTGTTACTTCATAACTGCCATTTTGCTACTGTTATGAATTATAATGTAAATACCTGTGTTTTCCAATGGCCGTAGCAACTCCTGTGAAAAGGTCATTCTACCCCCCAAAGGCCAAAACCCACAGGTTGAAATTCACTGCTCTAAGGTATCTACAGAAGAGTTGCTGCTGCATGAAGAAGCTACTTGTTGAGTTAGCTCTGTGTGCCACACACACTCACTGATGGTCCTCATTATACAGAAACTCAGCTCAGAAAATAGGTATAACTGCCAACCCCTGAATGAGATATTGTCCATTGTGAACTCTGCCTCATGGTGGGAGAAGATTGGAGAGCGAAAAATATTTTTTTCATTTGATACTTTCACTTTTCTTTTATTGGTGCCTATGTGCACATGTGCAGATACGTATGCATGTTTGTGTTGTGGGTACTGCTATGGGACAATGGTTTTACCCTATAAAGATTTGTTTCTTGTATTTGTTTAGTAAAATCCTCATTGGCCAGTAGCCAGACAGGAAGTATAGGAGGGGTGACCAGGCACGAAGTAGAGGCGGGGAAATGAGAACGGAAGAATTCTGGGAAGAGGAAAGATTCAGTCTGCAGTCTTCACCCAGACACAGAGAAAGTCAGACACAGAGCAAGCCAGATGTGACTGTCTTGCTGAAAAAGGTACCAAGACACATGACTAACATAGACAAGAGTTATGGACTAATATAAGTTACAAGAGTTAATAAGAAGCCTGAGCTAATAGGCCAATCAGTTTATAATTAATGTACACCTCTGGGTATTTCTTAGGGATTGAACTACTGCAGGACGAGGTAGGACAGAAAACTCAGTCAACAGGGTACACATGCACAAGCATGTGTGTGTTTGTGTTTATAAGTGTACACTCACATATATACATTAACATTTGGAAACCAGAGGTTAACTTCTGGTTGCAATCTTCAGGAGCTGCCCTCCTTATTTGGTAGCACAGGGTCTCTCTGGGTTCTTGGACTCACTGATTAGTCGAGGCTGGCTGGTCAATGAGCCCCAGGAATCCACCTATGTGTACATGCATGGCATTGCAATTTCAAGCATGCATAATGCCCAACTTACTGTGATCCCTATGTTTGTGCAGCCAGCACTGTACTGACTGAACTATCTCCCCAAGGAGTCTATTTCCATGGCCAGCTGTGTTGACACCAATTGTGAATGGCAAATTATTCTTAGAGTTATAAAGACTAAGAACTGTATTCAAGACCATTAAAGGAGACCTACCATTGTTGTTTTGCTTAAAGTCATGTTGTCAACCTGGCTTATAGTTATGTGTACACATAGGTGTGTGCCATTCTCAGGCTTGGTCAGAGAAGTTTCATTTTGCAGAGTGCAGCAATAAAGTCATGACTAGTTAACAGCTGAGAATAATGACAATATGTGTTAGCCCCAAACTAAGGCTCAGAGAACATTAAAAAAGAGGAGGTGGAAAGAATATGAAGGCCAAAGGATGGGAAAGCATGCTGTGCAGTGCAGCCTCCTGGATGTGACACAATCATCGCACTCATGAACTCACAGGAGCTGTGGTCACCTGCACAAGGTCAAGTCAGGCAGCATTCCCACGTGACCACTCCTAGCTGAGGAACTGTTGACAATTGATGGCTGCTGAGAAAGGAAGACATTTTTCTTTAGAGGCATCCTTACTGGTAGGTTACTCCTACACCTTTACGCATATGGGGGTGAGTTTCTGAAAAGCATAGGTGAATGGACTGAAAAGAAAAAGAGGATAGAACTATAAGGCCCCAAGGCTTATAAGTTTTTTAAAAAAAGCACGATAAATTGATAAATCATGGGGAAGAAACAATCAAGGTGTGACTAGCAAACTGTCAGGATGTGACTAGAAAGTGTACAGGGCACTAGTGGAATATAAGGCTTCCAAGTTTTTTAGTTGGGTTTTGCTTGTGGACTAGTTGGGAATCTGTCCACATGGTAGTAAGGATGCAGACATTCATCTCTTCTGGACCAGAGAAGGGCATCTTTTACAAGGAAGGTTTCACTCACTGCTCTGGTCAGCAAGTGAAAGGTCAAGGAGCAAGGAGCCATTTGAAGTTTTCCTTGCACGTCTTGTTGCTCCGTTGCTTTCAGATGAAAAGATGTTCCATGTAGCTCACTGCTCTAAAATAGCTTTTTTGGGGATAGACTGCTCCGAACCCCTTCAGCATTGGCCTAGAATGAGATCACACTTTACCCATTCTTCTCTACCACTTTTACAGTATTTTGGTTTACTATCAGGGAAACCTACTCTGACAGTCTTGGTAACTGAACCATAGCACTTACTGGTTCTGAATCTCTTCCCAGCGTACAGATGCAATGGAAGCCAGCCCAGATCTCTACCATTAGTTAATAAGAAAATAAGGATAATATCTCACTTCAAGGTAACCATAGGCTCAAAATAAGACTGTGACATTATAGTTATGGAATGCATGTTTCTTTTGACCCAGCATAGTTAGCAAGGGCACTCCAAGTATGCCAAATCTAGGAAATTTAAGTGCTTGAAACAAATGCCTTTTCCCCAGCAAGGCCTTGATTACAGATATTCATAAAGTCTATCTGGCTTTTCAAAGAGGCATTGACAAGGCCACCTGATTGTCCTTGAGTGTTGCCCACCTACTTCTCAAGATCCTTTGAGGATGTCCTCAGAATCAGAGCCAATTTTCAACAATGCAGTCAGTTATCTGGTCTTCTCACTCTCATTCTGTCACTGGTATTCTGTTCAGAGCCTATAAGTTATGCTATCCAATGGCTAATGAATACATACTTATGCCTTAGATTTTAAAATGTACCAATTTTTATATAGATGTGCATGGGGGCAGAAGTTGACATTAGGTCTTTCTCATTCACTTTCCACCTCATGTTTGAGATAGGTCTTTCATCCAAACAGGAATTCCCAGATTCAGTTAGACTGGCTGGACAACAAGCACCAAGTGAGCCTCCTATCTCTGTTTCCACTGCACGGGAAATAGAAGCACACACCACTGCATCAAGCCTATAGAGAGTACAAGGTCCTTGTGTTCACAGATAAGCGCTAGGGAAACTAGGGATGTTAAACACAGTACTGTCTCTTCCGTGGAAAAGATATCTGTTTCTGCTCAGAAAGTTAAGAATGGATGTGGCTAATAACCTGGCAATCTTTTCTATCTATAGGGCCAGCCCTCACCTGAATCCCCCAGACTATTATGCTTGTTCATTCCTTCCTCTCTTGAATTGAGCATGCTTCTCAGTCCATACAACTCATCCTCATGGGAGATGTCACGTGTACTCTAAAACAGCCTGGGTAACTTCTGTTGTCTGTACAGTCAGATAGGGTTTTCCCCGGTCATTCTCCCTAGACCCTTATCTTGAGCATCGTTTCTGAATCAACAGAACCCATCTTTATGGATGAGGTGGTGTGTACTTTTTAGTGAGTGTCAGTGTAAACACATCTTTAAACTTCGTTGTACACATGGGAAAGAGTTAATTATCATCATGAAATGCTTTTCTAAAATGGCATTGTACTTACATACAGCTAAAATAAACTGGCAGGGTCAGACTCTAGAAGTCTGGACCAATGCTGGCTAACTAAGTCAGCATTGGATTTCCTTCATGGAGCCTGTGTGGGTTTTGCATATATGTTGCAGTTGTTTAGCATGTGGTTTCTGTGGGACCCCTAATAGCGAGAGTTGGGGTATCTCTGACTCTTTTGCCTGCTCTTGGGAACCTTTTCCTTCTTTCGGGTTGCCTTGCCCAGTTTTTATATGAGGGTTTGTGCCTAGTCTTATTGCATCATGTTATGCTTTTTTGAGTTGACAGCTTTGGGAGGCCTGTTCTTTTCTGAAGGGAAATGGAGGATTAGTGGATCTGGGAGAGGGGGAGGGGAGGCTGGGGTCAGGATGTGTTGTGTGAGAGAAGAATAATAGAAAGGAAAAAAACAAATTACTGTCTATGTAGTCAGGTGTGAGTAGTGGGAAATAAATTATAGAATTAAAACTCCAACCTCCTGCTGAGATCCTGGCAGATCACAGAACCTCTGTCTCCTCGGCAGAACATCATTCTCTTATCTACTATGAGAACCACTTCATTTACTCCAAGGACTCTCTAAAATTTCACACTGGATTGATCTCTTGACACTCAGTATAAACCCAGTGTCTCCAAATCATGTAGGTATCTATAGTCTTAGGAATCACTGCAGGCTTGAGATCAGTCTGGACTATACAGTGTATGCCAGAACAGCTTGGGATAGTGAGATCGTGTCCCATCCCCCACCCCCAAAAATGGGCCAGGGAGATTGCTTGCCATGAGAGCTTGAGGGCTTGGATCTGAATTTCCAGTATCCATGTTAAAGGCCAAACACAACGATTAGATCTGGAGCAACTTGGACAGAAGGGTTCCTGTGGCTTGCTGGTTAAGCCTGTCTAGGCTAATTGTAAGTCTCAAGTTCAGTGAAAGGTTTCCAGGAAAAAAAAAAAAAGAAGGTGGAAAGTGATTGAGGAAGACTCCCCCATCAATGTAAACCTCTAGCCTCCACACACATGCTCATACATGTACACACATGTATGTGTTCATACGCATGTGAATACACAGATGAACATGCTTACATATACCACACACAAAACAACAACAACAGAACATCACCAAAAATGCAGTCAACTTAATCAAGTTTTTATTTCCCTGTATCCAGTCCCAGTGGTTTCCCTCATTCCTTGGACTTGTTTTCCAGGGAGCTTTAGACTTCAACAATCATAGCTAATGTTCAGGTTTTTTATCTCAAACTAATCAAAGTCTCTTTTTCAGTCTGGTTTTGCTAATGACTCTCCCAGAGAATTGTTAGTTTTGCAACGATTCAAATCAAAATTTATATGTGTCCAGTTCCTCAAACCAAAGTCCACAGGAAAAAAAAGATATAATATAAATTATTATAGCAATTTCTCCCTATCTAAGCAGCATTTAGTGTAATCTCCAGTAATCTTCTTTGAAAACATTTATGCTAGTATATATCATTTTAAATGTTAGGAGAGTGTGGTGTGTTGCTTTTTCATTATGCAAATAAGTAAAGCCTATGCTAAGACATAAATGATACAATTGTTCCACCTCTGAACCTGACTGTGTCACACAAATAATTTTTAATTATAGTATTGTAATTTATGAGAAAAATTGATAGGGATACTTTTGTACATTGCTAATTTCTAAATCTACTGATGTACTAACTAATAGACCCCTCCCATACAGTATTCAGTGCACAGCAGTACTACATTGACCCAAGTAAAACAAGTCATTGGCAAGTTAATCTCATGTATCCCAATTGGTAGTTCAGCTCTTTCCAGTCTCAATGTTCTTAGAATGGGAATGTCTTATAAACCCTCAGTTCTTTTGGGGGTTCTAGAGCACTGTACTCAGAAGATAAGGAGTATGTCAAGTGATAATATTGTGTCATAGATGGAGTAGGCGCTAATACTGGCTCTATTCTTAGCCACCTAGCTGTTTATGTGGGTGCTGGGGACCAAACTCAGGGCCATACACTTGCTCCAGAAGAAATTTACCTATCCAGTTACCTCCTCAGCCTCCGAAGTAAGAAAAAAAAAAAAAAATTAAGCGTGTAAAAGGGTCCTGATCAAGATGGCTTAATTTATCAAACAGAATACTCAGGTAAATGTGAGTCTCGGATAACAATTATTTCGTGTGCTACTCTCACTAAAAAAAAATTAGTTGTTGTTCATTTGAAATTCACCTTTAACAGGAAATCTTATATTTTCCCCACTTAGAAGAGTGAGTGACAGGTAATGGTAATTCTGGTAATGCCGCTTTCAGCCTGAAGGCTCCGGTCGGCTGCGCAGACTTACCTGGTCCCGCCCAGCTCGGGAGCCCAGCCCGTCGCCGGAAGCTCCGCCCGCCGCCGGAAGCGCCGGTGGGCGGAGGTCGGGCTTTGCTCTTCCCGCTGCCCCGTCCACCACGGGGTCCACCCTCTGACCAGAGCTGGCTTTCCCGGGAGGTCAGGCCGAGTCTCGGGCCTGCGTCCCCCGCGGGCGGCCCAGCGCCAGGGCTGGGTCCCGGGCTGCCTCAGCCCGCTTCCCGCTTCCTGGGGGCAGTGGCGGCCGCTGGACACCGGTGCGGGCGGCTCAGAACCGTCGACCTTGCCTCTCCGGCTCTTCCAGTCGCCGGGGTGGCGGCCCGACCCTTG